TCAGTACATGATATGTCCGCTCACTTATTCAGACACCTGCCTGTTCTCATTCTCCTATATGAAGTACGGCTGTTGATTTTTCGAAAAGTTTCATTCCACCGTCTAACAACATTCAGTGGCTCATATCACATTTCCCATGTGTTGGCTGTACCGTCAATTGCAGATAACACCGTTTCCATACATTGCGCGTACGAAAACCAGCCGGTCTCGTAGACCGGTGACCTTTTCATCTTTTAATTGCTCTGCCTCAGAATTTACTTTTTAGTCACACCCGCATTTCTCCACTCGTTATTTAATATAAAGCCTCAGCCAAAAACAACGGTAATTGTTGCATGTTTTGATATCTGAATACTATTAATGCATCCGTGCAGTCAGTCACTCTGCTGTTTCCGGTCCGTCTTTTGTTATCGAGTAGTCTACAGTCTGCTATGAGTAGGCAATAAAGTCGAGCTTACAGTGAGTATTACGATGTGGATGTTATTTCCTACGACGTCAATGGTACGAGTATAATGCACAGCTCCGATCATGGCATTTCTGGACGGTACGCTATGGATTGTCAACGAGGAATCCCATCGTATACCTCGCTGGCAATCCATAGTGTAACGTACAGGAATTAGGAATTTGGAAGCGTGGACCTTTTGAGCACGCTCTCATTTTTCAGAGATAAAGTAAGATAGTAGGTTTTTGGTTTTATATTTATCGGTATTTGTATTGACTGATTTTGTTTTCCAGTTGCTACCTTTTTCTTTTTAAATCGTTTTTGTTATAGGTATTTACATCACGGTATTCACATGTTCACATAACTGATTGGTTAGTACTAATAACTAAACTACTAGTGAGTCAAAAAAATTTTTGAAGTAAACCAATTGCTAGCTAGCAACTACAATGCTTTCTGTATTCCGGTATTTCAGAATTTAAGCACAGATTGAAAGCATCGCTTAAGTTATATCCTGCGAGGATTTATTAGAATGCACCAAACAAAAAAAGACGGTAGGATTTCTCGCACAAGTTAAACCCGTGTCCAGCCCAGCCGTTGCCATAACCTGCTAGGTACTCGTATTTCACACGCTATGTTCTTTATCAAGCATGTATTTTCAAGTTGGTTACCTATTTTCATACTTCAAAATCAGTGGTTTCAGTTGTGCGTACAGCACTTTATGGTTTTCTACCTTGCTTTTTACCCGCACCCGGACATTTGGGAGTGTGACATTTCGCCGCAATTAAATTTGACGCACGACTTTTCGCCACGAAGACATTTCGCCGCGGGACATTTTGACGCTGGGACACTTCGGTTTGGGACAATTTGCATTGAGACATTATGACTTTCGGACATTTTGACGCAAGACGTCTGGTCGCGGACAATTCGCCGCAAAAGAATTCGACACGCTTCTGCGTGCTGCGATATTAGTTCTGCGTATGAGCAACTCCCTGGCTACTGATAAACTAGACGCCAGGTCGGGACATTAATTTTCGCGGGTTTTTCGGGTTTCTTGGAAGTTTTCCTATGTTTTCTTATGTTTCTTCGGTTTCTTCGGTTTCTTAGGCTACTTAGGTTCCTCAGGTTTCTTAGGTTACTCTTAGGTTAGGTTTCTTAGGTTAGGTTTCTTAGGTTATTTTTATATTTTTTTAGGTTTCTTAGGTTCCTCATGTCTCTTAGATTATTCTTAGGTTTCTTAGGTTTCTTTCGTTTCTTAGGTTCCTCAGGTTTTTTAATTTATTCTTAGGTTTCTTAAGTTTCTTAGGTTATTTTAATATTTCTTTGGTTTCTTAGGTTTCTTAGGCTTTTTAGATTTTTTAGGTTTCTCAGGTTTTTAGATTGCCTAGGTTTCTTAGGTTTCTTAGGGTTTTCTTATGGCTCTTTGCCTTCGTCTTTTTTTAGTTAGTTTTTTTGAGTTCGTGAATTTTTGTCCTAGGAATTCCTGCCAGTTTCAATTGGCCTGATAACAAATGTATCTGCTAAAATTGACGCTTCGTCGAAACAGCCCTGCGGCGACATGTCTCGGCGTCAAAACGGCCTGGCGACGAAATGTCTCTCGTTGTGGTGAACGATTGACCGAGCTACCACAACAGTCTAGTGCAGTGTGCACAGAGCCACTAGGTGAGCTAGTTACCGAGCTATCACTCCTTTCTAGTGAACAGAGCTCATTAGGTGAGCGGGTGACCGAGATACCGTAATGCCCCGTGTACGGAGCCCGCCAGGTGAGCAGGTGACCAGGCTGCCATTACTGAGAAGTAGCAGGTTGGGGTTCAGAGAATCATGAATCCAGCGGAGAGATTTAATATTCGTACTGACCTGGGAGAATCTGTAATTATTACATAAAACCGGTGTTTTTGCGCTATTGCGATGTACCGATCATTTTACGACGAAATATAAATGTGATACTGATAAGTAAAAAAATGGTCAATTGAAATCAAATAAAGTGGCCGTGGACCGACCCCAAGAAACGCGGAGGCGAAGCCGAGGCTGTTTCTTATATGTTTATATCGTGAACGTGTGATCACAGCATGATCACATCATGTTCGTCGCATGACATTTCCTGTAATAGCAGCGACGCAAACGCGTTAAACTTCTTTAACCATTTCGACTTCATATCGCTCTGGAGCTGATACATTTGGAGCTGATACATCGCTCTGGAGCTGATCTATTTTCTGCTGGCGGCGATGGTGTCACGCTTCTTGGGGTAGTTTTGGCTAGTCGATTTCGTAATAGTCAAAATGACGAAGCGCTACGGTAGTTAATGAAACGATCCCTTATGCTTGCTATAGGTTAGCGAAGGTTTAAAGACGTTGTTGTCTTGTACTTAAGTAATGCGCCACCCTGTTGGGATTTCATGTTAAGCAAGTCCACTTACCAATGTCCGCGCTCTGAGTGGTATCGATGGCAGAAGATTTAGCCCCCCGCTCGTCGTCGTCAGATTCTGGAGGTTCTGTAGAGCCAGCGTAGCATAATTGTACTGATAACTGGTTGCTATGGACATTGGATTTTTTTTAGTAGCTGCACCCACCATGGTTAGCCGCTGTCCGCGCATTGAGCGCCGACGTGGGTGTTACGCTGTTTGGAATACTGGTGGCAGCGGTGGCTGCTGCAGTAGATGCTGATGTATTTGACTTAACAATCTCATTATCTACGATGCAGATACCGTGAGGAGTAAGGACGCTGCCATATAAGGAATGCCACAGCCCTTGCAATTCAATTAAGCGTTGATGGGGGTCCACTTACCAATGTCCGCACTCTGAGTGGTATTCAGGGAAGACGATGTGCTGTCATTACCAGATACTCTGCTGTCTGTAGTTAACAAGTTTAATGATAACAAATTAGAATACAAATATTATGGTTGCTATATTACTGATTCTTTAAGACTACCTGTACTCACCACACACAGCCGAATAAACGAGCAAAGAAATGAGCATTACAGTGTACTGGGAACGACCCATTTTACGAACTAGACAACGGATAAAAAAGTAGTTAAAGTACTATAATTAAAGCGATGACAACAACACACAATTCCAGTACACTAATGAAACGACATTAGCTGTACTCGAAAGGCACTTTAAATGCGTTCTGTACGATACAGAGCCGGAAGTTAAGTAACGTTTCGATCACACCCCCTTACCGCTGATTGGACGGCCGAGTTAAAGTGCTCTGTATCTAAAAGGAACTCTCCTGGCTCCGTTACGATACAGAACTCGCATTTCTTGCTACGTCAAATCTATTTTTCGATGTGGATGCACAGTCCGCTGTACGTCTAAAGTCCTATTTTTAATTTTCAAGTTTTGAGGGTGTAAATAACGGGAGTTTAATTTTTTTCTATCAAATCAACATTCCCGTTCTGTTTTGTTCACTGATTTTAGCTGCCTCCGACTGTGCATGTTTGAATCTGTATCGATGGCAACAGGCAACTTCGCCATAGCCGTCAGCGCTAGGAACACCTCGGCGTACTTTACGTGCAATTGCCTTTCGCTTTTGCACCAGTCGTTTGATTTCTTAACTTAACAAAACTTAGAATCGCCAGAAAAAAAAAGGAAACGGCCACAAAATTGTTGTGAAAAATAAATAAATCGTTGACCAATTCTACTACGGTAACTGGTTCAGACTGGTTGCTTTAAGAGTCCATGGTCTCGTTGCTCTGTAACGCTCATTAAGATTCAGCGCTGTACCATTGGTAGATTCACTTTTACAGAACTCCCGGCTCTGTATCTTACAGATCGCATTTAAAGTGCGTTTCGAGTACTTCGAATACTGCCTTATATGGGCTCCCCTTATATTGCTCTCCCTTATGTGGGCTCCCGGCTAGTTAGCAACACCCGACAAATTATATTTATCGGATTTATAGCAGAACGCTTTTCTACTCCTTTCAACCGGATTTACCAGTGAGCACACCAAAGAATTCCGAAATTTCACATCTGAATTTTATTTATATATATTATTTATATATACTTTATTTATATAGCCCAGATAAGGGAGAGTAATATAAGGGGAGCCCATATAAGGCAGTAATCGAAGTAGTACTAATGTGTGCTTATATACAGCGGCTGACAGAGCGCAGCAGGATGGCTTAGTCTTTAAATGCTACAGATCTTTACGGCATATCTGTTCTAACGACGCTTAAGTGCCGGTAATACGGTAGTCTAAAATCTTGTGTGACAGACCAGATTAGCTCTGCATTATGAATGCGTTGCATCAGCGTGATATTATGAATGCATAATTACGTGCTACAGAGTACAAGGGTTTTGTGGAGGTCGTTGCTGATTTATAATAATTATGCTTGATGTTAGTTCCGTAACCGCACCTTTGCGCTAGGTACACGTTTGTACTAGGTATTGAATCAGATCCTGGCAGACTGGCCGTACGAGTCATGCTGTCATTACCAACGGCTGTTTTCTTCAGCACAACAAGGAACATCGTGTAGCACGTCTTATATATATCCGTATAGCACTTTTTCGAATGTCTGACTGGCACGCATTGTTTTACACCGCAAGCGAAAGCAGTCACGCTCGATTCCGGCATCGCTGCTGCTAACCATGTATTTATTGTAATTGATTATGAGTACTTCCTGAACAGTGCAATCCGGGAAGAATGTTTGTCGCTCGACAAAACTGCGTTCAAACTGGCATTTAAAGCAGCTATGTTTCCATGCATGATGTAGGAGACGCGTGTTTAACCGGCTATAATTGAATTTTGTTCATTTTCGAAATATTTTAGTTACAAACTTACAATTGCAATCCATGCGTGTGTTTAAGCTTATGAAGCTTTAAATTAAAACTTTGCAGAAAATGCATAGCTGACACTCGCTTCGCTGAACCGTCAGTGGACGCTGGCGATGGAAGTCCAAGCACACAGCATGACTAAGCAACTTTGTCTGCTGTCTATGCGCCGTCTGTACGCTGTCTATACTCGGTTTCCTTGGCTTGCGCTGCACAATAGCAAGTACGGTGAAGTACGTACCAGTACGATAATGGTTTGTGTCTGTTGTGATGAGTCATACGCGCACCGTACTCTGCAGCAGGCGGATGGTGACGTTTGCAAAACAGACACCGGAAAATTCACGCTGATATTTTGTGTTTAGCCTCTCATGCAAACGTTTGTACACATGCAGTAATCAGAATTTAGCCATTGCTGCTTCTATCTGTTTTCCTGCTTATTTTGAAAAATTGTCCTTACAGTTTTCCGTCGCGATCTAGGGAATGGCTGAACAAACACTCCGAGAATCCACAAATGCTCTTCGTCCAGCCACGTGGGTCTTTGAGGTCCCAGCGGAGCGCTTCCAGACAACCTGCCAGCGCCTTACATGCACACACACGGCTGCCGTGTTCCTTGAAATGAAGGCCAATTGTGACCCACCACATCGCCAGGATAACCGTCAGTTGGTGGAGTGGTCGTTAAATCGACGAAAACGTCCGACGATTCCAAATCGCGAAGTGCGGCGGACCATCTGTTCGGATCCCGGCGCTGCGGAACGTTTCGGCATTTCGGCAGCATTTTGGAAATTAACAGTTGGGACCAGTCAAACCTGGAATACCGCCACTTACTCGATGGAGCCAACGTGCCCCTCGCAGCGGCTTGTCAGCAAAGTGCCGCTGCGTGTAGAGTGCTCCATCAGCGGAAAAGGGTTCGTACGTAATTTGCCTTTCGTCTTTAGCGTCTCAGTTGCCTGCTTTCCGTTTTGCTCCCGACAAGTTACTGACCGAAAATTAGCTTTTCTGAAATTGTCTTACCCGTCTTGTTTACAACTATTCGGTGACCGTTCTTGTCGGTCAGATACCTGGGTTTTTTATTTTTCGAAAGCTTTTCTGGGCTTGTTGAATGGCTAAAGTTTTTCAACTTTTGTACTACTTTTCCTAGGTTTTTCCGGTTTTTTTTCCAACGGCTTCTTAAGTTTCGTAGTGCGTTGCCTTGGTTTTATTAAGTTTCTTAGCCTGGGCAGCGTTTTTATTTGGTCTCTTAGGGTTTTTAGGGTGTTTCTTAATTCTAAGAAATTTGGGGCGTTATCTTTGTTTTTTTTTCGTTTGCACAGGTTTCTGAAATTTTCTGGAATAATGGGTTCCGAAAATTTTTTTTTTTTGATCAGAATGTCGTTAGAAATACATAATGGTGTTCAGCAGATAGTCGTTTGGCAATTTGGCGATGATCGATGCTGTAGTTTCTACAAACTGCCGTGTACTGCTGTCGTCGGGAAGCAAAAAGTCGTTAACAAGATCTCTATCAGTAAATCGGCAGTGTGCCTAGTGGACCCATTGTTTCTCTGTACAAAGAGCTAATCAGAATTATTCACGATTTCCTGAATCTGTAACGTTTCAGCATGCAATACGGGGATCCTTACGAAGTGTTGATCAGTCCGAAAGGCTGGACAACGGCGACGGCTAATCACGCGGGCATATCGACTTCTTCTTTATCGCCTACGCTGGAACAATACCGTGATGGAGACTACAATGTGAACGTCTCAGTAATCGTTCCGAGGACCATTTTGTATGTGAGGATCACCTGCTACCCGATGGATTCCAACGAAGACTCACTGGATTCTATGCTTGGCCCGCTTGGGCGTCAACATCTTTCGGCAGAAGGCTCTGATGATGTACGGGACGATGGACGGGTCGCAGAGTGCAAACTGATCTCCCGTGATGGACAGCAGTTTTGCGTCAATCGAGATGTACTGGCTGCACAGTCATCGGTGTTTGCTGCCATGTTCAAGCGTGAGATGAAGGGGCAGTCTTCGGGACAGTACTTCCTTGAGGATGTTGATGGATTCTTCCTGGAGGCACTCAACAAGTTTGTTTACAAGCGCGGTCCGCTGGAGCTGCCGTCGGGGAGTCTGCCGAAGCTGTGCGAGACTGCGGACCAGTATAAAATGGATGGTTTGCGGGAGCATTGCGAGAAGTTGATGATCGACGCGCTGGATGTGCAGAACGCCGTGTATTACCTGATCCTGGCCAAACAGCGCCGTCTGCTGGATTTGAAAGTGGCCGCTGCAAAATTCATCGGTGAGCATGCCAGCGACATCTAATTGCAGGATCTTCCATGCGTCGATGAGGTTGAATGGGAACGCGTGAAGATAACTGTACGTTTTTTATTTATTAAAAGTTTACAGTTTTCTGACTACGTTGCTGTCTTTTACTACTAACAGAAAATCGCGGAGAGCTCCTTGGAAAATGATTTGGATAAGTGTGGATTGAACGGCGCCGTATCTGTCTTCTGTTTTTTTTTATGGTGCTAATATGCAAGTTGTAGTGTTAAACGTTGAGTTATGAAAGGCATCAGTGTTAGGTATACACTTTCATTTTGTTATCGCCGTTGCTTTTCAACGTACAAATGAGTATCGGGTTTTTGGTTTATTAGTAAAAATAGCATCGGAATTAGATAAAAATTGTTTGTTACGGTGTTGTGCCGACTTAGATGTCTCGTAACGTTGTCCGGCTGATCGAGCTGATTGAGCCGATAAGAGTGAATACAGACAGTGAATAGCTGCAGGGCAACTTCAAGTTTGCTAACACGTACGTACCCTGGATGGGGACAACAACAGAATAAAGCGAGTTGACAGCTTAAAACTTTTCACTGAAAATGGAACCACATTATGCAAGTACAAATTTCACGGTGTTGTTGAAAAACACCACTAGTTATTACGGGGAACGAAACACAGTTGATGGGGCTGCGTATCCGCAATAACTCCCATGGTAGGCGTCAGATCGGCCGCCTGACCTCTCTCCGGGAGGCGCACGGTGAAGCGCTGCATGACGGCGGTGAAGATGATGAAGAGTTCGGCGCGCGCCAACGCCTCGCCCAGACAACGCTGCTTCCCTGCAACGACATAAACGTCACTCTTAGTAATCACAGTACTCGCTGTATATAAGCAACGTACCGAGACCGAAAGGCATGACGTTGTCCGAGGCCAGCACTTGGTTGTCCTTCGTCAGGAAGCGGTCGGGATTGAACTGCTCCGGTTGATCCCACCAGTCGGTGTTGTGGTGGACGAAGTAGATGTTGGCTTGCAGCCAGGTACCTGCAAAAGGTCATCCCAGTTAAAAAGCGAACTTATGCGGAAGATGTCAACAGTGACCTTTGGGGATGTCGTATCCCTGGATGGTGGTGTCTTCCTCGGCGGCGTGATTGACGCCCATCGGGACGACGCTGGCGAAGCGGTGCACCTCCGTGATCGTTGCTTCGGTGTACGGCAATTGCTCTTTATTCGACAGTTTGACGAAGGAACCAACCGGGATTACCTTGTCCAGCTCATCGTGCACTTTCGATTGAATATCGGGATGGGCGGCCATTAACAGGAACGCCTACGAGCCATGCAAGAATAGGTTCACCTAAGACCTAATTAGTTTTTCTTTTAATACCAAATTACCCAGCGCAGCGTTGTCGTCGTGGTCTCAAATCCGGCTTCAAAGAGATCGTCCAGTGTCAGTTGCAGCTCGTTCACTGGAAACACACTGAATATCGTTATTAGTCCAGTAGACTAACGGAAACGATCACGCACTGTTAAAGGTTGCCGGCTGCTGCTCTTTCACCGCGGCGATGTACGTATCGATGAAATCGGCATTGCGATCCGGTTGCCAGTTCTCGAAATGTTCCTGAATAGGTTTCCCGAAGAATGCCTTAAAATTGTGCAAAATCCCTAGTAACTCGTTGTAGGTATCTTTAAGAGGTGGAACAACATGGCGCATATAGGGAAAGGACGCCAAGAAAATCTTCTTCGGTGTGAACTCAATAATCTCCCGTGTCCAGCGCATAATATCCACGAAGACCGGGTCATCGGGAGCGTAGCGCTTGCCCATGAGGACGCTGCCGATGACGTTGGCGACGGTGCTGCTTAACGGTGCGCGCGTGTCGATTGGTTGGCCGTTGGCCGCTTCCAGCAGTTTGATCAGTGTCGCCGCCTCTTCGACGATCTTCTCCTCCATTTTGTATTTGCCCACGCCGAAATCGCGCAGCGTGTGCAGAATGAAACGACGGTGGTCTTTCCACGATTGACCACTGCTGAAGACGATGCCTGCAATGTACCATGTCAGTTAATTTGTAAACGGTACAGATACTGCTACACACATTTTTCTAGCCGGGTGTGCTAAAGCAGTAAGTAGTTTTTTTCTTAGTCACATTACTGAACTGTCATCAGTATTCGGTGATGCAAATCCATCAGTATTCGGTGAGTCTGCGACTAGTACTAGGCAGTAGGTACACAATGTACCCAATAGTACAGTCTGTCCATCTACTGTAGTAGTTAATATTGTACGTACTCTGTATATCCGTGTTTCTGCTGTACACGCTTGTCAAGGAATCGAGGGCGTAAAGATACAGGCAGTGCACACTAAGCTCAATATTGGAATTAGCTTTAATACGGTTAAATCTGCCGCGGTACATAAGTTTTCATGCACAACCCAACTAACAGACACAGTTAGTGCTTGTTTAAACAACTGTCAGCCCCTTCTATAAGGGGCTTTTAGAGGCGGGGGCAAGCATTCTCTGTACTGGCTGCCGTCACCTGGGTGGAGAGTGACGTTATTGTCACTCACTACGTATGGTTAAATCTGGCGCGGTACATAAGCACCGTGTTCAGCCACAACGTAAAACGCCAGCCGGATAACGGCAGCACGTACAGGTAGTGCTTGCCTCAGCCGTTAAATTCCCCCTATATTTCATATCTATGTTGTAGGGACATCTATTTTATCTAGTCAGCTTTCTTTAATAGAGCGGGTTTTACCAGTTGCTCCGTCGTTCATCCGGGCTCGTTCATCAAAATACCAGAAGGTCGGTCATGGCACGAATACATCGCGGGAGAAAGCTTCCTTGATGATCTTGACATCGTTCAGCTGGACGGTGGCAACGGGACCGAACATGGTGCGCACGATACTCCCGTATTTCTTGGCGTTGTTGTAGTGGATACGGTGGAAGGCCTTAATGTCGGATTCCTTTAACGGCGACCCGATCAGCGGAAGACTGCGCGGCCCCGGCGGCCAGCGGTAGCGCCGCTCGCGCAGGTAAAACGCCGCGATGTAGTACAGGCCGTACAGCAGCACACCGCTGCCCAACGTCCGTATCGATGCTAGCAACATCGTCGCGGTCGGTCAGCTTCAATGCGGATTTTATTTAGAAGAGATTAACAGTAGAATAATTATCTGGGGTACCGTATATGAAAGTGCGTCCGAATTGGCATTTAAAAGAGTCGCGCTGTTGCTTTTGTATGGAGACGAGGTTAATATTGATAATAAATGATTATCAGCCTCAGGCTCCGTCTGCGATACACTTTTGCTGCCGCCAATGGCAGTTCGACAGCTTGAAGAGGATAACACGCGGCAGAGCTTATCTAGTACAATGGACCATGATCACTGATAAGAATTCCCCAAGAATATTCATAACTGTCTATGTACTAAGGCATGTAGACATTAACCATGGTAGGACGGATATTGTCTTCAAATTGTACAATGCTGCTGTACGAGGGTAATACTAATGAATGTTACTGGTACTGGTAGTGTTACTGGTAGTGGTACAATATAATGTTACTGGTACTGGTAGTGGTAGTAAAAATGGTACTGTTACTGGTAGTGGTACTGGTTGTGGTACTGGTATCACGTAACGGTACTGGTACTGCTAGTGGTAACATTTACGATAGGCAGCGACACTAATTTTATTTAGTTCGGTTTAACATAGTGCTGACAGAGTATTACCCATCATTACAAACAAAACTTCAACTACATTATTGACGTACTTGTTGTCGGCATAAGATGAATTTTGTGTTGTCACTAATATTATGCGCGGAATCTGCAACGGTATCGTCCAAATCTTCCAGCGGGCCATTCTCTTCGGATTCCTCGAGACAGTCGTCATCCTCAGACAAGACATCAAGAAGTCTGTCCCCGTCCATGTCTTGAAATAGTTATATATACGATGGAATGGCGAACTAATCAGCTGTGGTGGTTGTGAACGAGCAGCTCCACAAATCCCAGCAATTTAGATTTAAGTGAACTGCGAAGAATTCTTAGTGCTTATAATTTTGTATTGTCATATTGTGATCGCGCAAACAATTTTTTTATTTTCCGGATGTTTTTGCGGATGCACTGTATTTGCCCCTTTGCGCGATAATTACATTTCGCTGAAGCTGACCTACAGTTCATAAGCGATTGTGTACATGTCAGGTAACAAAAGTGGCACATTAAAACATAAGAACTGCACTAAAACATTAAAAACTGCTCAAAATTGTTTAAACCGAAATTTGTAAAAGGTCAATGGGTGCTATACGGCAACGATGTTATATGAAGTTGTTCTCCAAAATTTAACAACATATCCTAATAAATTTTATTTTTCACAGTACCAATAACAGTACCAGTACCATTACGTGATGCCACTACCACAACCAGTACCACTACCAGTAACAGTACCATTTGTACTACCAGTACCAGTACCAGTACCATTATATTGTACCACTAACAGTAACACTACCAGTACCAGCAACATTAATTAGTATTACCCGCTGTACGATACAACTGCACTCATTGCATTTGGTGCGAGTGAAAAATTTCATTTTGGTTGTTCTTTTAATTAATTTTTCTTTGAAAAATATTAACAAGTTTTACTTATCACTTCCTGTGACCGCAGTTGCTTTTTGCTAATCCGGTGGCTATTGCCGCGTACAGATGAAATTAAGTGTTTTTATAAGACATGTAATTTGTTTTGGCGGGTGCATGGATACAGAGCTTTCTTTTTTACCAGTGTAACGGGTTTTAAAACATCAAACGCAAGCACATTCAAATACTGGTCAGACGGACTGCAACACAGCAGCAACGGTTAAACCCGGTCAGCGCAGTCGAAGCCGAATGGGCGTTAAACATTGCGTGGAACGAAGCACAGTTGGTGAGGCTGCGTGTCAGCGATAACCCCGACGGTAGGCGACAAGTCGGCCGTCTGACCGCCGTCCGGCAGGCGGACGGTGAAGCGCTGCATGACGGCGGTGAAGATGATGAAGAGTTCGGCGCGCGCCAACGCTTCGCCAAGACAACGCCGCTTCCCTGCAACGATAGTGTCGTCATCGTTCTTAATCACATTAAGCGCTGAACAGACGGTGCACTTCCGTGATCGTCGCTTCCGTGTACGGCAACTGCTCTTGCAACGTACCGAGACCGAAAGGCATGACGTTGTCCGAAGCCTGCACTTGGTTGTCCTTGGTCAGGAAGCGGTCGGGATTGAACTGTTCGGGTTGATCCCACCAGTCGGTGTTGTGGTGGACGAAGTAGATGTTGGCCTGCAGCCAGGTACCTGCAAAAGCTCATCCCAGTTAAAAACAGGCCTAATTCGACGAATGCCGCCAGTGACCTTTAGGGATGTCGTATCCCTGAATGGTGGCGTCCTCTTCCGCCAAATGCCCGACGCCCACCGGGACGACGCTGGCGAAGCGGTGCACTTCCGTGATCGTCGCTTCCGTATACGGCAACTGCTCCTTATCCGACAGTTTGGCAAAAGAATCAAACGGAATATTCTTGTCCAGTTCGGCGTGCACCTTGGCTTGACTATCAGGATGGGTGGCCATTAGCAATAACGCCTACAAATAGGGGATGATGAATACGCTTTTTTGGTTGCTATATTAGGTTACCCATCGCAACGTTGTCGTAGTGGTCTCGAATCCGGCTTCGAACATATCATCCAGCGTCAGCAGCAACTCATTCACTGCAAGTACCACATAATTAACCTGCATCCAATAAAACATAAAAGTTAAAAGGTCACGAACGGTTAAACGTTGCCGGTTCATGTTTTTTGATAGCGGCAATGTACGTGTCGATGAAATCGGCGTTCCGTTCCGGTTGCCAGTTGTCCAAATGCTCTTTACAGTGCTGCCAGAAGAATTTCTTGAATCCCAGCAAATTCCCCAGCAGTTCGCTGTAGGTGGTGAGGAAGGGTGGGACATAACGCAGGAACGGAAAGGACGCCAGGGCGATCTTCTTCGGCGTGAACTGGGTGCTCTCCCGCGTCCAGCGTATGATGTTCAAGAAATCCGGGTCGTCGGGTTCGTAGCGCTTGCTCATCAGCACGCTGCCGATGACGTTGGCGACGGTGCTGCTTATAGGTGCGCGCGTGTCGATTGGCTGGCCGTTGGCCGCTTCCAGCAGTTTGATCAGCGTCGCCGCCTCTTCGACGATCTTCTCCTCCATCTTGAATTTACCCACGCCGAAATCACGCAGCGTGTGCAGGATGAAACGCCGGTGATCTTTCCACGTTTGACCGTGGCTGAAGACGATACCTGCAATGCGTGCAGCTTGGCTTACTTCTGGTGGCGAACCATACGTAACTAGATGGTGTCGTACCGGCGACAACATTTGTCACCACAGGCACATTCTGTATGCATTCTGCATGCGCTGGATAAACTATGCACGAAGCAAAATTTGCCATTTTCTTGGGTTTTTTCTTCGGTTTTTTAGGCATTTTAGTTACAATTTTTGCGTGCATCGCAGGGTAGCACCAAAAAAGCCGGTTTCCTTGGTAATTGTAGTTAGGTGGATGCCCTTTCGGAAACCGGTTAGAACCGGGCCAGTTTCCGAAGCGTTGGTATGGGTATGGGTTTCGAAAAGCGTACTTTTGAATTTCACGAGATTTAGTTGAGCGGAGTTTTCATTCCTCCCGTTTCTTTAGCCAGCCCGTTCAGTAGAATATCAAAGTTATTATAGTTTTAAAACAAGGAACAATCCCTCTACTGGATCAATAAAATGGCACTCAGTAGCCCACTTTGCTGGATCACTACGATTTTTAAATTAGAACTGGAGAAAGAGAAATTTTGGCTTCTGGGACAACCTCAAACTCTACTGATTTTTGAAATTTATTTTTTAAAAATCTCAGGCTTTTGTTAAACTTTGGTTAAACTAAACTTTTATAGGGAGTAATCCTTGCTGTTTCAAATAAATCAGCGCGGTGTCAATCAAACACTCGAGGAACCCAGCGCACCTTATTAAAGCGCCGCCATTTTGTTGTGTAACGACTGGTGGACAATGGCATTATTTACGTGGCAGTTATTTATTTACCGGTTGCACCATCGTTCATGCGGGCCCGTTCGTCAAAGTACCAGATGGTAGGACGCGGCACAAAGACGTCCCGGGAGAAGGCCTCCTTGATAATCTTGGGATCGTTGAGCTGGACGACGGCGTGGGGACCGAGCATGGTGCGCACGACACTCCCGTACTTCTTGGCGTTGTTGTAGTTGGTGCGCTGGAAGGATTTGAGATCGGACTGCGACTGCGGCGACCCGATCAGCGGCAGACAACGCGGACCCGGCGGCCAGCGGTAACGCCATTCGCGCAGGTACCACGCCGCGATGTAGTACAGGCCGTACAGCAGCGCACCGCTGCTTAACGTTCCAATCAGCGCCAAAAACATTGTCGCGGTCGGTTACGTACTAAGCGTACAGTACAAAAACGGTTTTGAAATGAAAATCTTTCGTAAATAACAGTGATTCACAAGATATCATCTTTTAAACCTGCATCTTTTAAAGCACTGTAAAATGTACAGGTACGGGCAGCTTTTACAAGCAATGTGAGAGATGCGCTGTAATGTAATGTAGGTCAATGTTGTGATTATCAGCAAAGTGAAGGCTGTATTGCAACGTGAAGGTTGCATAATGCTGCGTCTGCGATACGTTTCTTCGGTATTTCTGTCTCGATTGCAACTTATCTATGTGACAACATGCTATCAATGCAGCGGCAAAAGTTGTCGGTTAACACTTGTGTAAGCCGCAAACCGGACTTTTATTACCGATGTGTACTGCGAACAGGCTGAAAAGCTTTCATGCAGGCAACCGGATTGAATAAAATTTAATATGGTTGGAAATGCAGCTGCTGCATTGCGTCAGCTGTCGTTCTTCAAATAAGCGCGCTCTGAGCAAACGATAATAACATTAAATATTTCTTATGCAGGTGTTTTGCAGGCTGCAATACCATTTATAACAGTAGCGTAAAAATGGGAAAATCACAGACTTTAACCACGGAACCGGTGGAAATCGTCAATTAATTACTCTTGGAAATCAAACATCATTAATTTATTATGACAGATAGAATATGTGATTATATCGAGGAAATTCAATTCTCTGTAGACAGTTCAGTGTCGTTAATTGCCCATTAAATCACCGTACGAGCAACATAATTATTCCCTCCGGCATTGTAGCTTCTTAACAATTCAATCAACAGCATACGATGCAAGCCGTGACTACCAAATATCTAGCAATAAAAATAAACAAACAGGTTTTTCAGATTACAGCTGTGCAAAAACCGGCAGCCGCACCTTGCATCAGGACAATCAACGCCGAGTACCGCGACTAATGGAAACAACACTACGGTAAATCAAGTTAATTTTCTCGCTTCATTGACACTTTCTAGCCGGCAGCGATTCACTAGCGCTACCAACGTGGCGGGGTTGGGATGCCCGGCTTTTTTAACATTTAAGCAGCCGGCACGCTCATTGCAAACGGCAGACGTTGGCTAGGGGTTTTTGCAAATACACACCGGGAATTTATTAACCGTTAAAATGGAGCGATTGTCGGCGACTCTTATGGCTTTGTGCCTGGCTATGGTTATCGTCCAAAGTACCGGTAAGAACGTTACACTGGACTAAAAAAGTAGCTGCTTCGTTTTAACGAATACTTCGCAAACGAGAGGCTCTCTGTTCGAACCCGGCGCTAGCGATTTAAATGCTGCATAAATTCCTGTTTTTTACGCCCATTTCCTAGTCTGGTTAATTCTGATAACGAACGAAACTGTAGCCTGCTAAATAGACAAATTATATACCATGAAGAACTAAAATCGTTTTAACGTATACCACGCAAACCAGAGCTTCTCTGTTCGAACCTGGTACCGGCAATTTATGCGCACCGGTTGTAGTCCTGTTGCACGCTGTTTGTTGCTTTTATAATTCAGTTTTCGAATCCCCGGCCGACCGATTTCCGGGTCGACCAGTTAATTAAAATACCGATTTTTACAGGGAAGTCGGTGCAGCTGGACAGCTTCAACCTGGACTGCACACCGGCCCCGAAATTCATCGGGAAAGACGACCAGTCCACATGCTTCGGGCGCTGCAAGGAGAGCGAATGCCTGGCCGCCATCTACAGCAGCGCCGGGCCCCCCACTCGGTCGACCTGCGCCATCATTCTCAAGGGCGCCAAGTGCCTGCCGGGTCCCCGTGGTCCCTTCAACGTCAAACTGAACGTACCCAGCGTCAACTACAACTACCGCACCAGCCACACCCTGGACGGGTCCAAGGAGAAGAAACTGTACTCCACGTCGGGTCTCGGACTGGATGAGTGCAAGAACTTCTGCTCCATCGTCAAAGGCTGCAACGCCGTCCGCTCCAGTCCCATGACGTGCCAGCTGCTGCAGTTGTCCGGCAAACAAAAGGCGATGAAAAGCGGAAACGGCAAAGGACCTCTGTGTCATAATAACGAGTGGGTCTACTACTCGGATAAGAGTATGGCGCCCACGGAAAAGGGCTGTGAGGTCATGACGAATTAGAAACGATGGTTGTAGTGCTTCTCGCACTAATTGAATTCTATTGGTTTGTGGCTTGGCGCAAAATATTTTGCATTGCCGAGATTCGGTTATGGGAGAATAAAACTGCCATGAAAAAAATAATGGGAGAATAACGCCATGAATGCCATGAAACGGGCTTTCGTTCAGACCTACCTTTCTAGTAAATAGCTACGTAAATTCATTATTCAATGAGCTAACTTTATAGGCGTAAAAAAGCGAATTGGCCAAGTCTGGTCGTGACTCCAAGATATCGGATAGTAACCGGACCATAATGAAGTTAAACGTTTTGTCTATTTTAATCGATATATCTCAGTAATCACTGTTGTCTAAGCACCCGTTTTCACGTCAGTGTACACAAATCATTAGGCGAAAGTTTCAAGGGATACACACGAAATTGGATAAAACAAACAGCAGACAATCCTAGTTTTATGTAGCCAATTAACTGGTCATAATTTCGCAGCCCTTTTCAGTAGGCGCCTGCGTCTTGTCGACATAGTACACCCACTCGAAATTATGGCACAACGGCCCGGTCCCAAATCCGTTCCGCAGGGCCGTCTGCTTGCCGGTCAGCTGCAGCAGCTGGCACGTCATGGGGCTGGAGCGCACAGCGTTACATCCCTTGACCATCCCGCAGAACGCCGAACAGCCCGGCACCTGCGACGAGCCGAAGAGCTTTTTCTCGTGCAGCATGTCCAGAGTGTGGCTGGTGCGGTAGCTGAAGTCGTAGACGGGCACGTTCAGCTGCACGTTGTAGGGACCGGGTTCACCCGGCAGACAGGTGGCGTTCTTGGGGATGATGGCGCAGGTGGGACGGTTGGGCGGACCGTCGTAGTGGTAGATGGCCGCTAGGCAGTCGCGCTCCTTGCAGCGGGCGAAGCATTTCGCTTGGTCGTCTTTCCCGGTGAATTTTGCGGGGGGTGTGCAGTCCAGGTTGACGTTGTCCACCTGCACGGTCTTCCCTGTAAAACCGGCATTTTATCGAATTATGTAAACATCAAATTTTGTAAATTTGCCCATAACTTGGTGGTAGTGCGTCAAGCTTTAAGATTGTATATCCTGGGTTCGATTCCTACCCGTAGGGTGGGTAACTTTTACCTCATAAAATCAAACCAAAAAAAGTATAAAATTTGTAAAAATGTACCAAAAAATTTTCCAACAGCCTGGTAAGATTTCTTCATTAGCCTATGCTCAATAGGTTGGCTACTGTAGAAAAAATAATAACAAAAATTATAAGAATTCAGTTGTTTTTAAAAATATTCTTACCGACGATTTCGACGATGACTGTTGTCAAGCAGAATGCCACAAGAACCATCGACAGTCGCGGCATGATGACGCTCTGAAAGTTTCGTATGTTTTCTTAGGTTTTCTTGGAGACGAGTCAAGCGTTGCGCAGTGGACTTGATAATTCAGTCTACTGGATAATTGCGCCGTCTGCTTAGAGTGAAGATAATCCTGGGCATCAAACATACACCCGCCACGCTGCCGACTGCATAAATCACCTGCCGGCAAAAGTATAAGTATTAATAAATTCACAGCTCACAGATGAAGACAAAAATCAATTTGACAATCGTATATGCTTACTGCGAGCATATTAGTGGAACCGAGTGGGAACCGGTTGGCGCACCTGCAGTTTAACGAGGGCAGTTAACGAACGACATTGGTTAAGTTGTTTTTTGTTTGTGTTAATCGCCGGCAGGACACTGAAGTGCCTGGGTTGGGCTGTTCGGACAATTTCTAGCATGTATTTAAGGAGTGTGTGAGACGCTCCTTTTTGCTCGACAACGGTAAACATTTTTTAATGCAGTTGATTTTTTAAAACCGGCAAAAATGTCGCGATTTTCGGTCGCTCTTCTGTTGCTGAGCCTTGCCATACTTATTGACCAAAATGCCGGTAAGAACGTTATATAACGTAATACTAAAAAAAAGTTTAATGATGTGTAAGGAAAATGGCCCGGTACATGATGATAAAAATGGTATACATACACTAAAACTTTCGCTTTTGCGCACTCCGAACCACTTTTTTGCAATGCTTTATATCATTCTAAAGCTAAATGATTTGTATACATTGTTCTGAAAACCGTTTGCGCGCGCAACACTCAGGCGGGATATGGCGAACTCAAATGGGCGAAAACTTTAAACGCATTGCTGTGTTTATACCAGTTGTGCGTGTTCCTGTTGCACACTGTTTGTTAATTTTTTTTACAACTTTTGAACCGCGGACCAACTGACCGCTTTACGCTTTTTTTGTTCAGCATTATAAACATGTTTTTAACACTGAAGTGTAAGATGGAATACCGTTGATGCAGGGAAGATGGAACTGATCGATGACATGACTCTGGACTGCAAACCGCCCGCGAAATTCGCCGGGAACGACGACCAGGCCAAATGCTTCGGCCGCTGCAAGGAGCGCGACTGTCTGGCGGCCATCTACAACTACGCCGGTCCGCCTAACCGTCCCACCTGCGCCATCATCCCCAAAGGCGCCAACTGCCTCCCGGGTGCCAATGGTCCCTACAAACTGCAGCTGAACGTGCCCGACCGCGACTACAGCTACCGCACCAGCCACTCCCTCGTCACGACGAAGGAGAAGAAGCTATACTCCGCGCCGAGCATACCGGGCGGCTGTTCGACGTTCTGCTCGGTGGTCAAAGGCTGCAACGCCGTCCGCTCCAGCCCCATGACGTGTCAGCTGCTGCAGTTGACCGGCAAGCAGACCGCCATGCGGAGCGGGACCGGTAAAGGACCGTTGTGCCATAATAACGAGTGGGTCTACTACGTCGATAAAAGCCTGGCGCCGACGGAAAAAGGCTGCGAGATCAAGACAAATTAAGACTACGTGCTACACTATTATGCCATAATTGGAAATTACGTTTGGCATGGTGTCGCATGGTTAACGCTTTCGCTACGTGGTTATGCCTTATAAGCAATAAGCAGTCAGCTGCATCGAGCTTCTACGGCGCCCGGCTACGTGAACAGCGCTATCTGACTTTGCTTGTTAAACATTTTTTATTCAAACCGGTTAAGCGAATGAAAGCAGTTCATAGTACAAAGCGATAACACTGTCTCGGTATCGGTTAACAAATGTGCAAGCAATCAGCAACCTTTGACGTTTCATTCACAGAATGTTGCCATAAGAATAACTTTTAATCGAGGCAGAAAAAGCGTATCGCAGACTAAGCATTATGCAATACTGTCCTGTGTTTCGCTGATAACCACTGCAAACAGTACTTATTTTTCCCTACATTACACTTACAGCACATCCGAGTGTTATATCGTATCTGTCTGTGTACACATCGATCACCTACTTTAGCTATAAGTATTTTGCACAACAGTCCATAAACTGTGCAGTACTGTAAGATCAGGCAGCCGTAACTAGAGACTTTAATTTAAAATCGTTTAAGTTGTACGTTTTGCACGTAACCGTCCGCGAAGATGTTGTTTGCTTTGCTGGGGATGTTAGGCAGTTGTGCGCTGCTGTACGGTCTGTACTACATCGCGGCGTGGTACCTGCGCGAATGGCGCTACCGCTGGCCGCCGGGACCGCGCAGTCTGCCGCTGATCGGGTCGCCGCTTATGCAGTCCGACATTAAATCCTTCCAGCGCATCCACTACAACAACGCCAAGAAGTACGGGAGTATCGTGCGTACCATGCTCGGTCCCTACGCCGTCGTCCAGCTCAACGATCCCAAGATCATCAAGGAGGCCTTCTCCCGCGATGTCTTCGTGCCCCGCCCCTTCTTCTGGTATGTTGAAGAGCGGGCCCTCATCAACGACGGCGCACACGGTAAAAAATCTTTAAAAAAATATTTAATAGTGTTAATAATTTGGTACCATAACCGAATGAGCAAATCGTGGGTAATGGGTACCACCTTTGGTGACAACTGGCTTGTGTCGCAGACAACTTTATGGTTTGTGTATTAAACCCTGGTGACAAATGATCGTCAGGTGAACGTGAGGCATTGATGTACCATTGACGTAAAATTTAATTGTCTGTGGTATATCGACGATCTGCTAAACTACCATTTCAATTTGAAACTTTCAAAAGCATTAAAAGACATCCTGAATTTTTATTTGTAGGAATCGTGTTCAGCAAAGGACAAACGTGGAAAGACCACCGGCGTTTCATCCTGCAAACGCTGCGCGACTTCGGCGTGGGCAAATTCAAGATGGAAGAGAAGATTGTCGAAGAAACGGAGATACTGATTAAGCTGCTGGAAGAGGCCAACGGCCAACCAATTGACACGCGCGCCCCGGTCAGCTGCACCGTCGCCAACGTCATCGGCAGCGTCCTCATGGGAACGCGTTACGCTCCCGACGACCAGGATTTCCTGAACATCATGCGCTGGACACGGGAGATCACCGAGTTCACACCGAAGAAGATCGCCCTGGCTTCCTTTCCCTTCCTGCGCCATATCCCGCCCATCAAGGCCACCTTCGAAGAGCTGATGGGGCATCTGCGCGGCTTCAAGGCCTTCTTCCAAAAACCCTGTCAAGAACATTTGGAGAACTGGCAGCCGGATCGCAACGCCGATTTCATCGACACGTACATTTCCGCCGTGAAGGAGCAGCAACCTGCAACGGCTAATAGTGCGTGACATTCCAGCAGTTTTGGTTTGCTGTCGCATTTAGGTATCTAACTTTCAGTGAGCGAATTGCCGTTGGTGCTGGAGGACCTCTTTGAAGCCGGGTTCGAAACCACAACGACCACGCTGCGATGGGTGACTTACCAGAAATAAAACAACCAGTTATGCTTCAGATACGTAACTTTTTATTTTTTGTAGGCATTCCTGTTAATGGCCACCCATCACGAGATCCAGGCCAAAGTGCACGCCGAACTGGACAAGGTAATCCCATCAGGGTCTTTCGCTAAACTATCGGAAAAAGAACAACTGCCCTACGCGGAAGCGACAATCATGGAGGTACACCGCTACGCCAGCGTCGCCCCGATGGGCGTCAATCACGCCGCCGAGGAGGACACCACCATCCACGGATTCGACATTCCAAAAGGTTAATCTTGATGTTCTCCGCATAAACTGTTTTAAATAAGATGAACGCCTGCAGGAACGTGGATGCAAGCCAACATCTACTTCGTCCACCACAACACCGAGTGGTGGGATCAACCCGAACAGTTCAATCCCGATCGCTTCTTGACCCAGGACAACCAGATGCAGGCTTCGGACAACGTCATGCCTTTCGGTCTCGGTACGTTGCTTATATACAGCGAGTACTGTGATTACTAAGAGTGACGTTTATGTCGGTGCAGGGAAGCGGCGTTGTCTGGGCGAGGCGTTGGCGCGCGCCGAACTCTTCATCATCTTCACCGCCGTCATGCACCGCTTCACCGTACGCTTGCCGGACGGCGGTCAGACGGCCGATCTGTCGCCCACCGTCGGGATCATCGCTGACACGCAGCCTCATAAGCTGTGTTTCGTTGCGCGCTCTAATTAGTTATACGATGATTCATATTAGAAATGTTTACCTGGTTACCAGTTACAGTAATTCTTCCTTGCTCATGGTCCGAAGAGAGAGCACAGGCAGAGAACGCACGGCTGACGCAACGACTGCTCAATAATGCGTGTGTATCTTTGTGGACGATTCTGTACCACGTCAATAACATAAATGAAATGGTTATTGCGAAATGGATTAAATCTTTAAATTTTAGTGTTTTCTGCTTCGGCACTTACGTAATATGTAATTGCTAGTTAAGTTAGTAGGGGCTTTTTATTATGGTTGGCAACTTCGCACATCTACTCTGTAGTTTTGTAATCAAGAATTTGTACTGATATTTTTTTCGATTACAATATTACTACAAACCTGCATAATCATCAACTGAAATGCTTCGTACTACCGACACTGGTTTTCACTAGAAATCGTTCCAATTGTATCTTTAATTTTCATTACGCATCTGGTGAGAAGTAATGCAATACAAATCATTTATCAACCAGCGACTTTTGTCTAACCATGGTGTAATTCAGTCAACTAGTTCCTCGGCCCGAACCCCGGGCGATCCTTGGCGATCCCGGCCCGGCGTTCCGGGCGTCATGCTACCACCTAAGCAAATTCCCACCATACTATACAGCGCCAGCACGTAGAACCAGGGTCGCGCTTGCATGTCCCTGAATAAGATTTCGAAGGGATCGAGTTTTCCGTGGCCTGTGTAACTGACGAGGCTGTTCTCGGCGCTCCCACTCCGCGCTGCATAACGGCCGTCGATACGCAGTGAACGGAGTGGAGCACCTGCATTTACAGAGGAATTCGATGTTTGTGCTGAAGAGTGATAGCCAAGGTCTACTTACACTGCGCCATCGCCTTGGACAGCTCCGGAGTCCGGAGCGTATTCGTCGGTGACGTAGCCGACAATCCTGTCCTTTTTATCGCGAATAGGGAGGTACAGCTGGCCGCGGTACACAGTCGACGCATCGCCTAGAACAAGAATATTTTTGAGCGCATACAAAAAGTTAACATGCAGATACTCAGTGTTGATGGTGTGGGATTTTTCAGATTTGCTCTCTGAACTGTTGATCTGTTCCACAGTATTTGCATAGTACGCTTTTATAAACTGGTCACTTAGGTTTAACCTAATTTTCTACCCATATCCAAATTTTTAGAAAAGGATCGCTCTTACAGTTGTACTAGACAATTCGTAAACATGGGACCTTAAATCACAACATAGGGACTGCTTACAAGTTTTCAGTGAGGCTCGGTCTTACAGCAATACATCAATCTCCATTGCATGTTGTGTAATCTTGTCACAGTATCTGCGCCTTTCAGAGTTTTCGCATACTGTTAGGCCTCGTCCCGAATTCAAAGCGAATCTCGTTGCGATACAGCAACTCCACCTCGCGAGGTGGCTTCGCGTACCGTATCTGTAGGCGTGGCCACTGCATACAGCCACCTTGTGCGGTTGAGCAACCGTACCATAGCGAGATTCGCTTCGAATTCGGGACAAGGCCTTATTCCGGATTCCTCCCAGCAGCTGGGCAACATGGGTACGTGGAGTGAAGAATATGGGCGCCACGGTCCCGTGTGTCATGGCCCGCAGCGCTCGGGCACACAGGTTCAGTGCCAACCCTTTTAACATGGCGCTGGACGTGCTGATCAACTTGGAGGTGGTATAATAGGCTTGGCACCGTAGTTTCCAAATTAATTTCACCAGAAGGATTTGTTGGAAAATTGAGTTTATTCTGGAGAGTCAGAGGAAGACATGGAAAGTGTTTGTGAACGAATGTGGAATTTCTAATGACAGTCGACACTGACAGAGCGTGCCAGTCAATGGACGATATCTACGCAGCTGCAGGTCGGGGCGGTCGCATGAGTGAGTAAGTAACGAATACGATCAGGACAACTTCATACGCAGGAGTCGCATCGTCAACAACAGCGCGCACCGGTACATAGAGCTGTCCGACAATCCCAAAAAATACCTGCACTCGTAACATTTAATGCCTTTTAATCCGAGTACTTAGAACGTTTCATGCCGTACTCTGTACGTAAGCCGACAGTGTATAAATATTTCCGGGTTTACTCAATACCCTGGTTGATGCTGCTGCTGACTCAACAGCCAACAGGAACCAAATATTCTTACGTGAAAGTGTTATCCTCATCAAAGAGTCCAGTTTCCAAACAACGCAGGAGGTAAATCGAGCGCAGTATCTGCAGTCGTTGGGGGGCACGCCGTACATCCGATTTTCGTCGGATGACCGGTCGTTTTGGACGGTTACACACGCCGTACCCCACAGGCTTACGCGGGACCATATACGCACGTGTGCGTGCTTTCCCTGCACACGGAGAATGCCCGTGTCCCGGTACGACAGGGGCACAGTTGTGCACCGGCATACTCTACCGGCCGGTTCGCTGCGTACGTAATTTATGGATCTCCCCTAATGAAAAGTTTCGCTGTTAAACCTGGTTTATCTGAGAAACGTAGCGGCTCCTGTGTCCGTTCGGCAAAATCAGATTCGATAAGCAGCGACAAGTTGACAACCACATTTTCTCCACTCGCGTTTCTGTGGTTTCGGTAGAGAGCTGACGCACCATGCTTCCGAGGTCTTTGCGATGGCCTGAGGCGATTCATGCCAGCTGACTAACACAATATACGGCTTAATACTGTTAATAGCAATCTGTTTCCCGTTGTACTATTGCTCGTAATATTATATTCGTATATACAAAGTATATTGTACGATTCTATGGAAGGGAAGTTAGGAACTGGTAACGCCATTTGGAATTTCGGCAACGAAACCCACTTGGCAACATTTTCTCTACTTAATCTGCAATCACTTTCATTGCTTTTGAACGATAAAAACGTGAAAACTTAAGAAAGTACATAGCAAACATACGAGTGACCACTTTGCTAACGGCATTAAGCGCCATAATTTTTTCGATAAGGTAGTCCTGCTTCGGGATTCGCCTGTTACTAGTGTATGTGTGCATTGCATTCGCCACCAAAGATTGCGCCATGTATTTCAAGATTCAAATGTAGGTAATTCGCCTTGGCAGCGCGCCGCTTAGTGGCAGCGCGCAGTTCACCTGGAAGTAAATAAGGGCTTTTTTCGGGCTCTGTCTCGCCAAATTCTCCGTTCGACTCGGCGAAGTTCTCAAATCGCGGGATTTTCTAAATCATTTTCGTGCCTCTGGTAATTATCGGTGACCGGTTTTCGTACCCGATTAATAACTCCAGTGATTTTTCAGAGAAATGCTTCATTTATCAGAATTTGTTAACACACCCTACGTTCGTGTACATAACAGATCGTTTATGTGGCAAAAAAAGACACAGAAAGGCCGTTGGGCAGTAACCCGGCTGAAACAGCGAGGTCTATAGCGCACAACACTGTCGTATGGTACTAGCGATGGAAAATTTGAAGAAAAATAGGTAATATGAACAGCAACGACACTGCTATATCGAGGCAGTCGTATCCCTTTCCGACTGGTGTGTCCTTGGTCTCCCGATTAGGTGTATGGCATGAAGTAGGCACGTGTCCGCGCTCACCGAACACTTCCCGCGATGTCTTCGTGCCGTCCACATGCAGCGAGCCACCTGTAATCGAGCATCGACACTGGGTTTTGAGTACATGTTTTGTTAAGCCAAAGCCGTCAAAATGTTCGTAATACGTACAAATAAAATGATTTAGAATTACACCTTAAAAAAACAACCAAAAATCGTTAGCGCCATCGAGAATTTTAGGACGCATAGCATCGTTTCAAATAACACAGGAGTAAGTAGTTATGACTTATGATTATACTAGTAGACCCCGCGCAAATTGCGCGGAACAAATCAGCTACAAATAATTTACGTTATATACAGGCTGCTAAGACTCAAATTATGATTGAGATACTGCACTAATAGGAAGAATACGGATCATAATTACAAATTCTATATTTTAAATTCGATTATGTGTTGCAACTTGCAAGTGTACTGGTAAAATTACCTATACTGTACTTCTACGGTAGTATGGCTGACACAGCGCAAAGTGCGCAGAGGAAATCGACTGCTGCCTGATGATACTTAAATGCAGTTAAAATAAAAATTACCGCATTTGCTAATACAGTTAACTTCGCTGACAAAAACTAAGTTATTACCGAATTATCGTAATTATCGAATTGGCACCTCCCCGCATAATAAGGCACTCTCCGTACTAAGTAAGCCCCTCCATAACCCGTTTGAAAAATAGCTCCTCCCGAATTTGCCTCCCATGGGGTGTTATTAAATGTTCAGCGCCACGAAATGATAGATATAAGGCCAATTGCTTCATAATAACTGCTATGATGTAATTAATAAACAGTAAACGGTCACAAAAATAATTTGGTGCTATGCTTCAGAATGCTGCTCGTAAGGTTCTGAAACTGCAAACACCGGTATCTACTGCGTTCAATTTCAATGGAACAGAATGCGCAGTTGTTTGAAAAATAAACGTCCCCTTCTGAAAAATACTGTTTGAAAAATAGTACCACCCCCAGAAATAACGCCTCCTCTCCGAAATAAGACCCCCTACTCCAGGACGTTTGAACTTTTGCACCCCAGGGGTGCAAATTCGATAATTACGGTAAGTCATTTTTTTCCAGCGGCAAGTGGCAATCCCACACCAACTAACTACTTAATACTTAACTAACTATAAAAGGTTCAATTGTTGCAGTCTTGCAGAGCTGGCTGATAAACTGTAAGAAAAAAACTGCCAAACGATGTCTCACTTGATTGCTGCTCCTCCTGCTTAGCGAGCTCCGCTCGCGCAGCAGCTCCGTTTCGCCTTCTGTAAATATCCGTTTTTCATTACTAATTTTACAAATACCGTCGCTTCTATTAATACGAAACTAAAGAAACAGTGTCAACAGAGAAATGATTAAGTTAAAACTACCGCAAAACACTGCCTTTTACCTAAGTATCAAGCAGCCACCGTCATCCCGCAGCTACTTGATAATTGGTACTGCCAGGCTGCCAGCAAGATTCGCGACGCATGCAGCTCTCACTTGGGACACTTCCTAAGTTCCCTGGGTCGTTTGTGCGTTCGGTTGTCAAAATAACTTAAATCTTTCTTGTGCCTAAATTTTTATTATTCTTAAACCCACCGCTGTTAATATAATGTTTCTTAAAGCCATTGCAGACCAAATACATCAAAACAAACAAAATTTTTCGAATTTTGTTTCACGATATAACCCGCGCAGGCTCTGCAGCAAGGCAGTTACTTAAAGTCTTCGCTGATTGGTTGTGTTGGGGTTCCGTAGACTTTGTATGATAGGATTTTTTACAGTTTTCTCTCAAACGATGTTTGTTTTTTGAAATCCGAAAGTTGCGGGCTCATCTACGAAATCAGCGCTATCGAATGATCCGTAAATGTTGAATATTGATCCACTCTGCGATTCTGGGGGATTTGACAGACACACTGGTCACACCCCCTCTTAATCTTTTATTATAAAGGATAACAGAGGCAGCCAAAAGTCGGCTGTCCGTGGCGATCTCAGCAGCGAGGGAGGGCGGTCAGATGAAGTCCTGTCTGTTGAGGAAATTCCGAAAAATGGCGATGGAGCGGAATCGAACCGCTGGCTACCGAATGAGATCCACGTAGCACAACCACTGTGCCATCGCCGCTGTTGGCGAAGATCAAGATATTTGTGCTTGAGCTTGAGCCAACCAGGTAGGCGGCGGATGGGCGGCTGCTGTGTGTACAGAGGATTCTCCTCTTACAATTACGTGCTAGTTTGCTCAAGTTATGTAAAAAATTGTGTAACTGTGCGGTATACTCTTAGGCCTTACAAATGGCCACAGCCTTGGCCAACTCTTCAGCGTATTCGTCGGCAACATATCCAATAATCTTTCCTGGGTATCGCGTATCGGATGGTACATTGGTTCGCGGTAGAACGTCGATGCGCTGCCTGAAAGAAGAACCATTAGCCGTGCGAGCCTCAGTGGGGCGTTTTGTGCCGACAAATAAGAATTTAGAAATTTTTAAAATATTGTTGTAAAATCTTCCGCTTATTTAGAACTGAAGGTGGAATGTTAATTATCTTAGCTTTTTCTGTCTACAATTTGGCCTGTGGGTCGTGGCAGTGGGCCAAAAGAGGGATCAAAGGCACACTCTGACCGCCTTAGCCGTAGTACCAAGTTACCAACTACCAACTCGTGCAATAAAAAACTAAGGGTGACACTACAGCCATCCCAAACACCCCCGTCTTTTATAGCCACCCCTTTTCCACACCCCGTTAATTATAGGCACCCTGTTTTAATTAATTACTTTCTTGTATGACGACACCCTGTATTGTACAGCCCTTTTGCCAGTTAATTACTGTATATAGATATACACAATTTAAAGTTCGGTACTGTAGTCCAAATGCGTTTAGTGCGCGTACAAAAGTTCTAAGGATTAACGATAAGGTCGTGGGACACAACAACCCACTCATTTAGGAAAGATGAAAAAGCTTCCAGAAAATCGACGGCTAGCTGTAAGTTCGGCGGAGGAAAAAACAGTAGTACCATCAGCATCAGTCCAGAAGTCGCTATAGGCGTTAACAGCCGTACAACTTCAAATGGGCAAGGACACGGGCAAAGCTGCTGAGTGTTGACGATAGCGCAAACATTCGCAATAAAAGCGGAAATAACCGACCGAGGTTGCAGAACTGCGGTAGAAATGCTGGACCATGAACGATACAGTACTCAACAAAATTCATGTCAAAAATCCAAACGTTTTAGTTGATATTGTCATTTGCCCGCTGAAAGGGTCATAAGTTACAGAAAGTTTGTGAATTTCGCACCCGGTGGCATCGGTCAAATATAAGATATATAGAAATCTCACATTCCTGAAAATGGACAACGAAATGGGTGGCTGTAATAAACGGAAACAGGGTGTTCTTATTTAACTAATTTAAGTCTAATTGTAAAAAAGGGTGCCTGTTATTAGCGGGTGTAAAACAAAATTTAGATTATGCCGTTGAAGTATATAAGGAAATTTTTTTTAATCGTTAATGCCTTTTAAAGTTTTGTACGGTGACTACGGTCAGGAGCGAATATAAAGAAGGGGGAGAGGCACAGAGCGGACGTCTTCCCGGAATTTTTTTTAAAAGTGGGCACCCCAAAAATTAACAGGAGAGTACTGCTTAACACATGAAACGTTAAAAACGGCACTGCCATGAACTGAATCAATTACCACTTTTTGTGGAATTTCTAGGCAGTTCTAGCTACCGTTTGCTGGCTTGGTGCTCCGCGCAAAAATAGCTCTGTGTTGTGCTGTATCATATGAAATAAAAATCTATGCGCGAAATGCAGGCAAAGAATTCATTTTAAATAAATATTTACATACAGCATTAGTAGTCTAGTACCGAGTCTACCGACTGCATCGGTTCTATCCTATTAAGCCGCATGTACTCGGTACTCCACAAATTCGTATTTATTTATTATTAATTACAGAATTTCTAACAAGCCCCACAGTAAAAACCTTCGTAGGATGCCCGAAAAAAATTCACATTTTCTCTGAACGCTTGACACCTTACGGCATTCTTCTACAGGAAATTTGGTATACACTAGTGCTGATCAGACCTGGCTTAACATTTGGCAGGTGTTTTTGCTGAAGTAGGGCACAACGCTCTCTTGCGCGCCCGTGAAAGATAACGCGAGTTAGTCACCACAACATTCTGAAGCCGAAAGCTAACGGCTGCGCTCATTGGTCCGCTACGTGATCCACAGATAAATTACAAAACGCAGCTTCGAAGCTGCGTTTTCTATTTTACATACACATTCACCTCCGTTGTTGTATATAGCCAACCGAGCTTAACACAGTGGTCACCGGTACAACCCGTAACATACTCGTACAGTATTATAGTAAATATTAAAGCATTTTGATTGCTAATTTGCTAATAAAATGTGGTCAAGTATTTAGTCCGAATTAATAATTTAACCTCACTTAGATTTAAAAGTTCGTTACTTGTAATAGACTATTTATAGTGATTGTTAATTTAGTAATTACGATTAGTAATTAAAGTAATTTAAGTAATTAATATTAGTGATTACAATTATCAATGCACATTTGTAATATTGTGAAGGTTGCGTTACTGTAATTAAGTCTAATTCCATTAATTAATAACGCGTACTAATTAGCTAAGTTACATTGAGTAAATGGAATACATTCTCCAGTTAAGTTATTATTGCATTAATTAATGACACCTCACGCATGCGGATTAAAACGCGCCTGCGGCCCTGCTGTACAATTCGTTTGTTTGTACACAGCACAATTCATTTAACAGTCAGTGCTTGCGTTTTCTCTGGTGATCCACTGCTTATTACTGGTCCAACGCATTTGTTTTTTTTGCTGTGTGTCATCCATCGGTGACGCATTCTGCTTTCACATTTTATTTCGCGCTCGGACGTTCCCGAAGATGACACACGAGACAGCGCCCTCCGCCATCTCCCATCCACCTGTGCAGTTATTGAGAGGAATGCGGAGTGCTAGTAAGCGCATTCTTAGACAGGCGACAGCAGGCACCGTATTTATAGGCGAAATTAAGTCACTTGGGGGTTGCCCCTGGGGCACTTAGAACCCGAGAAGCACATGCTAGACATTTTTTAACGTAATAGAACTGGTCGAATATGTTTTTGTAAGGCAAGGTGCCAGTAAAGAAATCACGGCAAATTTCAATGTTCGCGCGTAGCCAAAAGAGCGCTTTCTGCGAAACTGCTAAAAATTACATTAAAAATAGTAGAAGAAATACAGTAGGCCCGATCAATCCTAGCTAATCTTCTTGAGAAAGATATTTTAGAACAACTTGAGGCTAACAGATCTGTCGTGTACGTTGCTTTCCTAGCAACTACTGTTTTACTTCTAACTACTTTCTGCTGTACTTTCTGTCATTCTACCTGCTGCGCAGTTCCTGTTCACATCATTAATTATGTAGTATTAATTAACTATTAAAGTATTACTTATACAATACTTCACATTGGCGTGAAGAATTCGAATTCATGCTTACTAATGCAGAGCCTGAAATCTTCAAAATCTATGTGAGCACAGTTAATTTCGCAAAGAGGGGGGTGTTGCTTATTTGCTTTAATTTTCATACTGGCCGACATTGTCAAGACTCAGGAATATGCATAGTGTATACCGATAGAACTGACGTTTGCAAATTTCCAGGGGCAGGGCATTCGTATCCAGTAAAATTGGTATTAAACACAAAAACGTGAACTTGATTTATTGGAGTATGGTTGAAGTTGTTATTTGTGCAAAAGGGTTGTCAGTACGACAGTAGATCTTTCCTCGCGAATTTTTGGAGTCAGAACATCGGCCTCGCGCGAAGCGCGAAGCCTACAGCGCTTTTTGACCAGAAAAATACAAGAAATTCAATAAAATTCAGGTATTTATTCGGAAATATTTCAGGTTAGTCAAATTTGTTAAATATATAAAATATACAACCAGCGAAGCGTGTTGTGTTGCAAACAGACTTATACCGCCCCGCACTCCGAACAAGGCAAGCGCTCTCTGCATTGATGAAAGTGCGACTGGCATTCGGCGACGTAGTCGACTATCACTGCAAGTGCTAGAAGCTGTAAAACTATAGACAAGAAGAGAAATATAAGCGCCAATACCCACCACTTTATCACTAATCGGGCGATTTAACAGATTTTCTAGTAGACACTGACAAATTATAACGTAACCATAATTCTGGCGGTGCATAACTCCAAGTGCTTTTGTTGTACAGTACATACCGGTAATAATGTAAATCCAAAGTACCGGTTTAAGTACCGGTTTACTGTAAATCCAAAAGCGGAAACGCGAAAAAGTATAGATAAATGTGCGTTATGTGGCAAAACAAGATCTCTATCGTTTTCATTACGCAGATGGCATTCCCTCTTTTACTCTGTCTGTAAATGGACAATTGTTTGTTTCTAAACAACCAACAGGATACTGCATGTCTAACCGGAAAGGTCATTCTCTTGAATAAATACTGGATCATTCCTGTGAAAGCTGAAGCACACAGAATTTGTATCGTGTATCAGATAGAAAAAAATCGTGAAGGAATTTCTTAATCGCTCAACGTGTTAATGCTTGATCGGGCCGATTAAGAAAATTCGGGAATTTTTCTAATCGGAAGTTTGTTAGGTGACCACTCCGTACACACCCTTTCACACTCTTTTACTCCGTACACAACCTTTTGCACTACCCTTCATTCCGTGCACAACCTTTGACACTATCATTCACTCGGTACACTACCAATCCACGCTACCTTTCACTCGGTGCACTACCAAACTTTTATATTTATTTATATTCGTATATAAAAATACTTGTACTCTGTATTACTTATGGTAATCTGGATTCTGGAGTATTTTCTCTAAAACTTTTGCATTATGTCAAGCTCGGAAACAGGGAATGACCTACGAAACTGGGTCGACAACTCCTTCAAAACGGTGTCCAAACCTGCTGAAAACCAAGAAAAACCGGCACAAGGACGTCTAGAATTATTTTCTTACGGGAATTCAATTTTGTAACTGCCGATGATGCTGTGAATATGCAGCAATAACTACTGTTAAGTTCCAGGAATAACGCAGACAAAGGTAGTGCCGAGTGGTTGTGTACGGTGTAAAAGGTAGTGCTCACAAAGGTTGTGCACGGAATGAAAGGTACATGTAGTGCAAAAGGTTGTGTAACTGTACGGAGTAAAAGGGTGTGAAACGGTGTGTACGGAGTGGTCACCAATTTGGTAATCAACCTGGCAGTGGCACCTGCCAATGGCACTGCCAGTGGCATGGCATGCGATAAAAACTGGACACTCTGGCAATTGGCAAGCGATAAAACCTGGCAGATGCCGCATAAAATGTGGCACAACGTATAAGCGGATTCGGCGCGTTTGGTCTACTGTAGATACTCTTGGCAGTATGTATGCAGTTCTCTTTC